TGATGTAGAAAGCATCAAGAGAAGATGGAAGGAATTCACAGAGTCATGCCTTTATAGCCTTCTTATTTTTGAAAGTCAGTGTCCTCTGCTTTATTTCAATGATACATCTCCTGTTCTTCCAGCAGTTCTGGGTGGGTCTGCATGTCTTTTCAAATGCAAATATCCCAACTCTGAAGGCTCTAGTTTCTCTAAGGATTCCACTTAAGACCCTATACTCCACAAAAGTTTAAAGAGCCTATTTCTTTCTCTGTATTCGTAATTCCAAATATTCCTGTCACACACAGAAGTCTGTTTTACAATAATAGGCAGAAGAAACCAATATCCATAAGACAGTCAAACACATCATCTTTCTTCTCCATTGTACTAACTCCATTCATAAGCAGATGGCCTTGGGTCTCTGGCAGGGTGGATTTCAGTGGGCCCTGGCCTCGGATCAGCTATCCTTTTGCTGCCACTGTCCCCTCATCTGAAGTATTTCACTCTCTACACTCCTTTTGGAGTCCTGGTATGGCTCTGTAGAATAAGCACTCAACCTCAAGGCTGGTTTGAATTGCAAGGTGGAGGGTTCAAACTCACCAACTACTCCTTGGAAAGCCTATATTGCTGTTGTTAAGTTGCATGGAGTTGGTTCCAAACCATAGCGACCCTGCATAGGGTTTCCTAGGAGCAACTGGTGAGCTTGAACTCCTGACCTTGCAGTTCAAAGGGCTTTGCAGTCTGACACATTAACCCACAGTGCCACACCAGGACATAGGGTTGTTATGAGTTGGAACCAACTCAATGGCACTTAACAACAACAACACTCCTTTCAGCCATTGTTGTTAAGTGCTGTTGAATCACTTCTGACTCATAGGGACCCTGTGTAGGGTTTCTGAGGATTCACTGCTGGCTCTTCCTTATTCACTATCTAACTGTCATATGCATATGACATTATTGAAAATATTGTGGACTGAGTCAGGCACACCTTAGTCCTCAAACTGACATCTTTGCTCTTCAACACTTTAAAGAGGTATTGTGCAGCAGATTTGCCTAATGCACTAAGTTATTTGATTTCTTGATTACTGTTTCCATGAGTGTTGATGTTTGACCAGAGCAAAATGAAGTCTTTGACAACTTCAATCTTTTCTCCATTTATCTTGATGTTATTTATTTGTCCAGGGGGGGAGGATTTTTGTTTTCTTTACATTGATAATAGTTCTTTACAAGCACTATATCAGACAATGTGAGTCCTAGTGTGGTGCTGTGGGTTAAAGTGTTGGATTGCAAAGTTGGTTTGAACTGCAAGGTCAGAAGTTTAAGTTCACCACGGGATCCTTGTAAACCCTATATAGGGTCTCTATGAGTTGGAAGACTAGAAGAATTGATGTATTTGAGTTCTGGTGTTGGAGGAGAATACTGAAAAGTGCATTGGACTGCCAAAAGAACAAATAGATCTGTGTTGGAAGAAGTGCAGCCAGAATGCTTCTTGGAAGACAAGATAGTCAGACTTCATCTTTCATACTTTGGACATGTTGTCAGGAGGGACCAGTCGCTGGAGAAGGATATCATGTTTGGTAAGGTGGAGGGTCAGAGAAAAAGAGCAAGTCCCCTAGTGAGATGGAATGGCACAGTGACAGCGGCAATGGGCTCAGGCGTAGCAACGATTGTAAGATTGTCCCAGAACCGGGCAGTGTTTCGTTCTGTTGTGCATAGATTGCTCTGAGTTGTTACCAACTCAATGGCATTTAACAACAACAGTGGGTTGGAACCAACTCTGTAGCATTTAACAACATATTCTGCTGTCATCTATAGGTACTTCTAGAGAGTTTACATTTTATGGGGCACAATGGGAGTGATTTTCTCCTGCTGCATTTGGGCCAGCTCAAATGCAGTTGCCTTGGTGAGAATGTGGTTAAGGCAGCAGGTGAGAGGGAGGAGGGATAGAGACCAATTTGAAGGTGTCATGATAATCCATAATCACTCTCACGGATTGGTGGGCAAAAGGAAGTGGGTTTGGAATAGTAAGTGGGAATAGGGGGTGCACTCACAGCAAGCATAGACAACTCATTGGAGGAATTTTGCTAAAAAGAGCATATAAACCGGTGGGGAACATGAAGCCAGGGGAGGCGAGATTTTTTCTTTTAATGCGTGATAAGTAAACCCTAGATATGATTCAGTAGAAGGGGTAATCAAGAGAATGTTTGGAGAGACACCCCTAAAATTGACAAGGATGGGAGGCAATGTAAATGCGGAAGAATTTGTTCAGGATAAATACAGAACACTCAATAACTCCTCCATCCCTTTACCGATGGGGAGATCATATTTCACAAGCCAGGTCTCTGGAATGTAGTGGAACATGGGGTCAAATGCCCGCATTTTCACACCCCTGCCCAGCTGCACCCTGTGTTGAACTATCCGAAGATCCGGGGAAGGGGGCGGAGCCAGTGGGGGCGGGACCTTTCCGTCACAGTTACGCGTGGGCGGGAGTGGAGACCAGTGCTACGGCGGGGGGCGGGGCTTGTTTGGACCAAGGTGTCTTGTGAATTGCTGTCGAGTTGATTCCGACCCATAGCGACCCTGTACAGGGTTCCGAGACTGTAAATCTTCACGGGAGCAGAAAGCCTCATCTTTCTCCCGTGGAACTGCTGACCTTGAGATTAGCAGCCTAATTCATAACCATTACACTACCAGAGGTATTTTAGGGTAGAGAAAGCCTGTGACCGTACATGCCCGGGCCGGGTGTGACATGGGCTGGGACTTGGGGGAGTCTAGCGTGGCAAGCCTGAACATCAGGGCCAACTGAAGGCTGCGGGTGTTGGTTCCTGGAAATTAAGGCCCGAAACCTGGAAACTGCCATGCGCCGAGAGGCGTGGCTTCTTAATACAAACGCGTGAAAGGGTTTCAGTGAGCCACACTGCAAGTCCAGGGAAAAACCTGTGCGCAAAACGACCAATAGAGAAGGGGCGCTTAGGAAAGGTGCCCAGGACTTCGGAACGTGGCTCTGCGCACGCGCGTCGGTCCGCACTACCAGGCGCCATTGATGTTGTTGTTGTTGTTATGTGCCGTGGAGTCGGAACCGACTCATAGCGACCCTGTACAGGGTTTCCGAGGGTGTAAATCTTTACGGGAATAGAAAGCCTCATCTTTCTCCCGCGGAGCAGCTGGGCGCCATTGATACTAGGGGTCTAAAGGGGAACGGCCGCAGGCTCCGGCCACGCCCCCTCGGGCCGTGCGTCCGGATCACATGATGTTAAGGCCGCTGAATCCCGCTGGAGAAAGCGCCATTTCCTGTAGGTGAAGGTGGAAGGTCTCGGGCCTGTGTCGGCCTGCGTCAGGGATGCATTCTGAAGCGATTTAACCTACAACCTGAACCTGGGGTCGGGGATCAAGCTTGAGCTCGCGATCAGGAAGGAGAGATGTGGCTCGAGGAGTGGGTCGCGTATCAGGAGGGCGTGGCCTAGCTCGGTGACGTAGCGGGTGCGGGCTCCCCGCTGGGGCCTGACGTAAAAGAGAGGCGGGGCTTCCTGCTGATCGCTGGAGAAATAGGTAAGTTGGACAATGAGTTTTGGAGTCATGGTCGCCGTATTGGTGTATGAGACGCGGAGGATGGTAATCTCCTTAGAATGTTAGTGATGACGTAAGGGGCTAGGGCTTTTCTTGTTGAGAGGCGTGGCCTGGGGTCCAGGAGGCGTGGCTTAGTATGCAGGCGTCTTGGCCTGGACCGGGAGTCCTAAGAGACACAGCCACTCTGCCTCTTGATAAGGAGGCGTGGTGTGGGAGAGGAATGGGAAGAGGGAATGAGCCTTCTTGATAAGATACCAGTCCTGCCCAAAGCCTGATATGCCTTTTCTCCCTTAGGTGCAACCTCATGGAGACCCACACAGCCGCCGCCCCTGACGGGAGTTTCGTTCCGTCACTCCTGCTCCTGATCAGCGGGACGCTGGTGACCACTCTACTAGGTGCTGCACACTGCCTAGGACTGTTCTACCAACTGAGGCACAAGGTGTGGGGACTTGAAAGGGAGGTGGACGAGGGGCAGCCAAGGAAGTAGGGACTCTCGGCGCCCTTTGCCGGTCATCATCTTAACAGGCAGGAAAGTGAGGTCCAACTGTGGCACAGGAGTAGTCAGGGGACTCTGCCCAGGTACTTGGCCTTTTGCCACGCTGCACTCGGGAAAACCTGGAAGCAGAGGTTCCAGGTCCCCGTGCCCCACCCACCTCCTCCAGGGGCCAAGTCCGTTCGGAGAGCAGAGGTCACCACCAGTACTACGGTCCTGCCCTCCAAACCTGATGAGAGCAGAGCGGGACAGGCACGAGAGATGGCAGTGATGGTTGGTGACCGTTCTCCTCTGCTGAACTTGAGGTTTTAGTGGTAGTTCGTCAGGTAGCCCAAACCACACCTTTAAGTAGATGCTGTTGTCTTGGTCCCCTGTTTTCCAGTGAGAAAACTGAGGCCCAGAGAGGCCATGTGGTAGCTTGCTCCAGATCACTTCTTGGGGAGGGCACCACAGTCATCACTCTTAACAACTTGGCATGTACCTGCTCCCTAGGCCCCTCTACAGACTTTTCTTTCAGCTGGGAGGAACCTTGGTCCCCTCCCCATTGTGGCAGATTTTTAGTTTTCTTTTAAGGCCCCTCTGGGTAGATTCAAATCTCCAACCTTCATTTAGTGGCTAAGGTCATTAATCATTTGCACCACCCAGGGACTGCTCCCTTCCACAAGCCCTCCCCAGCCCTCTTCATAAGGGGTAGCAACGCTGACCCTCTCTCCAGTTGCCATGGATTTGGCACTGACATGTGTCGACCCCATGTGTGTCAGACTAGAGCTGTGCTCCTTAAGAGGCTTCAGTGGCTGGGTTTTCAGTGGTAAGTAGTCAGGCCTTTCCCTATTCACTTGCCCCTTCCCCAGGCATCTCCCAAGCCCTTCCTCTATAACAGTTCAGCAACATCAGGAGCCCCAAGGACTTGTGGGATTGAAAACACAGGTCCTGGGGTGACTGGGGCTGAGAGGCCTCAGCGCTGCTGCATGTCAGCAGCATGCCCTAGGCCTGTGGCAGATGGCAGCCTGTCAGCCAGGTCAGTGCTTGGCAAGTGGTGGGAGATGAGGGAGGAAAGGAATCAGACCACTAGGCCCTGAGAGACTCCCAAGCTGGTGGTGGGACCCTTGCCCCTTGCCCTGGCTAACTTCCCCAAGGTCCTCTAGCTCCTTTCTCTCCTCACACTCAGGTTGCCCAGTCTCCTTGGGGCAGGCAGTGTAATGGAGCAGAATGCTGAAGAGTGTCAATCTTGTTTCCACTATTTTCAAGCTGTAGCCTTGGGTAAACCATGGCTTCTTTAGTGGCTCAAGGATATAGTGACAGCAGCTAATGAGAGGTCAGGCAAGGGATGATGGGATGAGCCACCATGTTCCTGCTCACCTTCCTGGGGTGAGCTCAGCCCTGCCCCCACCTGTACTGGGTCTATTGCTCTTGTCCTTCACCAACTTGCCCCTGGGCCCAGGTGGACAAGACCAGTGTCCGGCATGGCGGGGAGACTGTGGCCACTGTGCTCCGTGCTCACGGCGTTCGCTTCCTCTTCACGCTGGTTGGTGGACACATCTCTCCGCTGCTGGTGGCCTGCGAGAAGCTGGGCATCCGTGTGGTGGACACACGCCACGAGGTCACAGCCGTGTTTGCAGCTGATGCGGTGGCCCGCCTGTCTGGTAAGAGCAGCTGGGAGCAGGATGGGAGCAGGCATGACTGGGATGGGATATCTGGGATGGCAGTGGGGTTGTGATGGTGTCTGTGTTTCAGGGACGGTGGGCGTAGCAGCAGTGACGGCAGGCCCTGGCCTCACCAACACCGTGACAGCGATAAAGAATGCCCAGATGTCCCAATCCCCGGTCCTGCTCCTAGGGGGTGCCGCCAGCACCTTGCTGCAGGTGCCCAGCCTACAAGGAGCAGCGGGGACCTGAGGGAGGCCTGGTGATGGGGGCTCACATACTGAGACCTCACCTCTGTCTTTGCTAGAACCGGGGGGCACTCCAAGCCATTGACCAGATGTCACTGTTCCGACCTCTGTGCAAGTTCTGTGCTTCGGTGCGGAGGGTGCGGGACATTGTGCCCACACTGAGGGCGGCCTTGGCAGCTGCCCAGTCAGGCACCCCGGGTAGGTATGGGGGACTGGACAGTTGTCAGGTTCTGGGGGTTAGAGGGCACAGTCAGGCACCCCAGGTAGGTATGGGGATTGGACAGTTGTCAGGTCCTGGAGGGTAGAGGACAAGGGTGGTATCACAGGCTCAGTGTCTTCCTGTCCCTCCAGGCCCGGTGTTTGTGGAGCTGCCCATTGACGTGCTGTACCCCTACTTCATGGTCCAGAAGGAGATGCTGCCTGCCAAGCCACCCAAGGGCCTCCTGGGTTGGGGAGTCACCTGGTAAGGACCCCAGTTTGCCTTACCCTCCCCTGCCCCTGGCTTTGCATGCAGCCTCCTGCTTACACCCCTCAAGGAGAGCTGCTTCTTCCATTGAATCAAGTGGGCAGAGCAAGCGGCATATGCAAAGTCCCTGGGGCAGGGATGGACTTGGGCCAGAAAAGCCAGGAGACTCCCATGTGGTATGTAAAGGGCAGAGCAGTTGACAGGGGCCACTGTGAGATCTTGGGATTTTGTTTTTATGTTGGATGCCTAGAGAAGTGTTGGAGAGACTGAAGCAGAGATGTGGGGTTCCCAGGTTTGAGTTTTGGCAACCTTTCTGGGGCTGCTGTTGGAGAGTGGATAGTGAGGTGGGTGGGTGGGTGGGGGAGGGAATGGAGAGGCAAGGGGCAATAGTGGCCTGATTGAAGGTGGGGAGGGTGGATGGAGTGGGTGACCTCCGTGAGGCCAGGATAAGGGGCCAGTGAGTCACAGTGGGTCCCGATAGACTGCAGAATTTGAGCTTCAGTAGCTGGGAGCTTGGAGAGCTCAGGCAGTAGGGCTGGCCGGGGACAAGCATGAAGGAAAAGCTGTCAGTTTGAGGCAGCCTTCTTGCTGTTGGGGAGTCAGGTGGTGCAAGTAGGTTGCAATCATCTGCTAACAGAAAGATTGGTGGTCAGAATCCGCCGGAGAAAAATGTGGTCATCTGCTTCCCGAAAGTTCCCAGCCTTGAAAACCCTGTGAAGTTCAGTTCTCCTCTTGACACACATGGGCTCGTCAGGAGTTGGGGTCACATTTACGGCTACACTTGTCTTTCAGTTGAGAGGGTAGAACGGGGATCCCAATAGGGGCATAGCCTAAGCAGAGGTGTGCAGAAGGGGGAGTCAGCTTGGGACACGACTGAAATATCTTGGACCTAGCTGGACAGAACCCAGGGTGGAGGTGCCACTTTCTTCTTCCACCAGGACGGACAGGAGCCAGGTCACCTTGAACTCTGCGCATGTGCGAAGTGCCACTAGGGCCGGCTCACTGAGTTATGATTTTGTCCCTTGTCTGTGACAGCCTCATTCATGCTTTTTTGCTTGTTTTTTGTACAGTTGTTGTGAAAACATACATGTGGTGGTGGTTGTGTACCTTGGAGTCGGTTCCGACTCATAGTGACCATGCACAGGGTTTCCCAGGCTGTAAATCTTTATGGGAGCAGAAAGCCTCATCTTACTTCTGTGAAACCACTGGTAGTTTCGAACTGCCGACCGTGAAATTAGCAGCCTGACTCCTAACCACTACGCTCCCAGAGCTCCTTGAAAACATACATAACAAATAACAAACCTTTGCCACCACAGCAGTGTCCACATATACAATTCAGTGACATTGATGACGTTCTCTAAACTGTGTAGCCATTCTCATTACCCGCTTCCAAATCATTCCGCCACCATTCACACAACTCACTGCCCCCAAGCAGAAGCTCCCCATTATCTTCCTCCTTCAGTTTCTGTATATTTGCTCATCTTGTGTAGGTGAGGTCACTCAGTTTTTGCCCTGTTGGGCCTGATTGAGTTCACTAAGCAGCATCTTTTCAAGATTCACCAGTGTTGCAACAGCTCTCAGAACTGCATTTCTCTATGACTGAGAGAGAGTATGCCATTGGATGGCTGGTCAACATTTTGTTTATCCCTTCATCTGTTGATGGTCATCTCTGCTGTTTCCACTTCCTGGGCCTTTTCTTTCAATGTTGGGGTGTCTTTTAGCTCTGTCCTTGCCCTCTTCTCATTTTCCAGCAATCTTAACTCCTCTTTTAAATAGAAAGCAGAGGCTTCTGGCTCTGAATCTGTCTGCTGCAGGCTGCACATTTGTTCTTGGGCTGGTTGCATGGTCCTTGAGGGCTAAGGTTGGCCCAGACTCTTTGTGTCTCCAGGCCCTGTGCTGGGTCTGGTACAAAGTCAGTGGCTACAAACCAAACCAGCTGCAGTTGAATTGACTCACTCGGCCTCATGGCCACCCCACGTGTGTCAGTGTAGGACTGTGTTCCATAGGGTTTTCAGTGGCTGCAGCTTTGGAGATGAATTACTGTGCATTTCTCTTGGCATGCCTCTAGGTGCACTCTACCCTCCAGATTTTCAGATTGCAAAACATGTTTACTGTCTGTACTTCCACCCTGGTAACCAGCTTCTTCCTCTGCCCTACACAGGTACTTAAAGAATCACCTGGCCAACCTCTTTGCGGGGGCCTGGGAACCTCAGCCTGAAGGGCCCTTGCCCCTGGATATCCCCCAAGCACCCCCGCAGCAGGTGACTCACCTCTTCCCTGGCTGAGGGCTCTTGCCTGGCTGCTCAGCCTTCTGAGTCAGTACCCGGGCCTTGATTGTGTGGGTCAATGGAGACTCGTGGACTGCCATCTGACCCCATTCTTGCCCCAGATCCAGCGCTGTATAGAAATCTTGAGCCGGGCCAAGAGGCCCCTGATTTTACTGGGGAGCCAGGCTCTGCTGCCCCCGACACCTGCCGACAAGCTTGGGTGAGAAGCCCCCGGGCCTGCCCTTACTGCCACTGTGCTCCGGTGTCCTGGGGGAGGGGAGGACTCTTGGACACACTGATTCCTGCTGTGCCTGGACCTCCAGGGCAGCTGTGGAGACTCTGGGTGTCCCCTGCTTCCTGGGAGGCATGGCACGAGGGCTGCTGGGCCGCCACAATCCCCTCCACATCCGGCAGAACCGCAGCGCCGCTCTGAAAAAGGCTGATGTGGTTGTCCTGGCAGGTGAGCTGGCCCCTTCCCCTCCTTTCATGCCCTCTCCTCCCCCATCACAGGGCATCCCCTCACCCTGCTCGTCCTGGCCAGGTCTCCCCATGCACCAGCCTTTCAAAGTTTCCGTTTATCCAATTACTTTGAATCTGAAATTCTCTAGGCTGGGGTTCCATGCTGGTGTGGCCCAGCTTCACAGAAAGAGTTCGTGTTGAGCACTGTCGAGTCAGTTCCAACTCATATTGACCCCGTGTAGGGTTTCTGAGGAGAAGCTGGTGGGTTTGTACTGCTGACCTTGTGGTTCGCAATCCGGTGCTGATCCTACAGCGCCACACATTGGGTGCATACTGTGTTTCTACACATTGTTACATGCAGTTCTTACAACCCTGTTGGGTACCTGATAGCTAGATCTCTTAACTCCCCAGAGCTGCAATAACAAAAATACCACAAGTGGGGCCTTTAGTGAACATTTCAGGAGGCTGGGAGCTTGAACTCAGAGCACCGGCTGTAGGGGAAGGCTCTGTTGACTCACTGAAAATCCTTTTATTTCAGCTTCTCTAGCATTCTTGGGATTCCTCAGTTCCTTGGCATTCTTCACCCAGTGCTTGTCTTTCTGTTATGTTTCATTGCTTTTCACTGTACCTGCTCTCTTCTTTTTATATCTAATTAGAAGGTATTTGACTTTATTAACATAGCAAGGAAACTCTATTCCCAAATAGGATAACTTCCACAGATGTGGTGGTCGTGGTGGTGCCCGGTTATTCTAGTGGGAGAGAGAGGAAGCTACAAGGCTTTTTGTGGCCTAGTGGAGTTGTGGTGTGGCATTGTAGGATGAGCACGGGACTGCTAATCGCAAGGTCACGGGTTCAAACCTACCAGCTGCTCCTTGGACACCCTATGCAGGGTGTGTGTAAGTGAGAACGAACTCAACAGCACTTAGCAGCAGCAGGAACAAGAGTCAGGAATGACAGGACATCATCTCCAGCACATTCTACTGCCCAGGCCAGCCCAGAGTCCGTGCCAAAGGCAGGGGTACAGGGAAGGGTGGGGAATGTACACAGTGGAACAGGCTGAGTCAGTAATTCCACTACAGGGCCCTTGCCCTCCATCCACCGAGGCCCTGTTCCCCGACCCCTGGCCCCCCAGGAATCGTGTGCGATTTCCGCTTGTCCTATGGCCGTGTCCTCAGCCGCAGCAGCAAGATCATCGTCGTCAACCGTGACCGGAAAGAGATGCTGCTCAACTCAGACTTATTTTGGAAGCCCCATGAGGCTGTCCAGGGTGAGTCTCCAAGTTACCCCACGTAATGCCTGCTTCTCCCAACTCTTCCCAGCGTGAGCTGGGTGCTGGCGAGCAGGGCCCCAGATGATGAGTGTTCTTGTGTGAACATGGGGAGGTGAGGGTTTGGAAACATAGGTGCCCTTATGTCCCGTGATTGCCCACCCTCCTGTGGCAGTCCCCTCTCTTGGAAAATGAAGAACTCACCCTTGGATCACCCTGGCTTCCTTGTTGCCCCTCAGTCTCCCACTTTGAGTCCCTACCGCTGCTCCCGCCCCCCCGAGCCTTTCTTTGCTCGGTATCTAAGGATGTTTGGCATGGAAGTGGTATGATTGGGTTTGTATTTGGGATGGTTCACTCTGGCAGCTGATGGAGCAGGTTGGATGGAAGGGGGCCCAGCAGAGGCAGTGGGCTCAAAATAGAAACATGATGCCCGGAGGAGAGAGGGACAAGAGACACACTTCCACGATTCCTGCTTGTTTATTGCCGGTGTGTGCATGATGGGAAGCGCAGGACAAGCCTTTTACTGATTTGTGTGTCTCCACACACTTGGGAGTCCTGGTGGCTCTGTGGGCTAATGCGTCAGACTGCAAAGTCATTTGACCTGCAAGGTCACTAGCTGCTTCTTGGAAACCCTATACAGGGTCGCTATGGGTCGGAATTGACTTGAAGGCTTAACAACAACAACAGTAAACTTGGAAGATGCAGCTATGTTTACTGATTGATTTCAAAGCTGAATCGACAGGCCCAGAGGGGTGAGGTGGGTGGGGGTGGACAGTGAGATCAGCTTATGTTTCCTCCGTGTTTCTTGGTGTGGAGATCAGGGTGACTGAGACTCATGGCGTCCCCATGTATGCAGAATACGCCTGTGTTCTGCCTGCTTTCAAGGCCGTGACCATTTGGAAACAGATTTTCAGACATGACTTCCAAGGCAGCCCTACTTGGGTCCGAACCGCCATGCCTGAATCACTTTTCTTTAACCTTGCCCTTCTTTTCCTGGGTTAATGTCACTTGGTTCGGTTGGGGTGTTGCATCCATTTGGGCCTGCTTGGATGCTGCTGTCTGCAGGCCTCCTCCCCACAGCAGTACTCTTGTCCTTACCCCAGGAGATGTGGCGCCTTTCATGCTGAAGCTGGCCGAGGGCCTGCGGGGCCACACATGGGCACCAGACTGGGTGGAAGAGCTTCGTGAAGCTGACCGGCAGAAGGAGCAGACCTTCCGGTGGGGCGGGATCAGGTGGAAGGGGGGGTTCCTGGTGTGTGTGGGAGTCTATGGCCTGCCTCTGACCTGTATACTGGTCTCAGGGAGAAGGCAGCGAGGCCCATGACCCAGCACCTGAACCCCGTACGGGTACTCCAGCTGGTGGAGGAGACCCTACCTGAGAATGTGCTCCTGGTGGTTGATGGTGGAGACTTCGTGGGCACAGCTGCCCACCTGGTACGGCCTCGAGGGCCCCTGCGCTGGCTGGATCCTGGTAAGGAGGGGCCCACACCCTGGGAGGTGTGTGTTCCTGGCCCCTTCACACCCACCTGCTTTTGGTCCTCCTAGGGGCCTTCGGGACACTGGGGGTCGGTGGAGGGTTCGCACTTGGGGCCAAGCTGTGCCGGCCAGATGCTGAGGTGAGCTGGGGGTGCTGTGGGCAGGGAGGGCTGGTTGTCCGCTGGACCACAGACCACTCCCCCTCACTGCTCCCTGCCTCTCACTAGGTCTGGTGCCTGTTTGGGGATGGAGCCTTTGGCTACAGCCTCATAGAGTTTGACACTTTTGTCCGACACAAGGTGAGTGGGCTGGGGCTCCCTGCCCTGAGGGACTCTCAGGGAGACCTTGTCAGGGACAGTGAGGGCGCTGTTTGGCAGAGACTCTGTTCTCCTCTGTCCTCCCACTGAAAGCCATGGCTGACCTCATCTCCCTCTGCAGACCCCGGTGATTGCCTTGGTAGGAAATGATGCTGGCTGGACGCAAATTTCCCGAGAGCAGGTGCCCTCTTTGGGTAGCAACGTGGCCTGTGGCTTGGCCTACACAGGTGAGGAGTCTTGGGTAGAGGGAATGCTATGGGAATAGGACTATGAGAAGGGAGCTGGGGATAGGGAGGGGTCAGAGGGGAGGGGAGGGGCTGTGGGAAAGCTGAGTGTAGCAGTCTGTTTTCAGAACCTCAGGAAGGGCAGTGGGTTATGGGGAGATTTGAGAGGCCCCAAGAGGGTGAAATTGAGACCCAGGCTAGCTGTGTGGTGGGTTAGATTCTTGCTACCCTCTGATTTGACCTCCCCTTATAGAATATCACAAGGCAGCTATGGGCCTGGGGGCCCGGGGCTTGCTGCTCTCCCAGGAGAATGAGGATCAGGTGGTCCAGGTGCTACATGAAGCCCAGCAGCAGTGCAAAGACGGCCACCCAGTAGTGGTTAACATCCTAATTGGGAAGACTGACTTCCGGGATGGTTCCATTGCAGTGTAACATCTCATGGGTTGGGCCTCCTGGCTCTTCCCCACCGCTGGACTGAGCCTCATCCTTGCTTGCCTCAGGCCCACCTCACCATCCCAGTGACTCCTCAGCCTCCCTTAAGCACAGGGAGGACCTGGAGGAGTTAGGGCCCAGGGAAGTTTGCAGCAGGGCTGGGCAGGCAAAATCCTAGGCCTTCTCCTAAGCTTCTATTAACAGACTCAATAAACCACCGCTGGCCTTCGGGGGCGAGCCTGTGCATATTGATTTATTGTCCATAAAAATGGAGGGAAGGGAAGGAGGTAGGGACAGGAACTCAGGGGATTTCAGGGTGTCTGGACACTGCAAACTCTTACCCCTCTGTGGTCCCTCAAAGAACCTCACGTGCCCACTCCACACAGTCACTCACACACGACCTCACACACACACAAGCGTGGAGGCAATAAATAGTTTACGTACCAAAGTGCCCCAGCCAAAGGCTTTAGGCAAGGCCCCTCCGGAAGGGAGGAGCTAAGTGCTCAAGAGTTTTCTGGGAGATGGGGAAGGGTATTTGGGGAAGGGAAGGGAAGGGCCAAACTCTGCCATCTCCTTTTGCTGGTCTAAAGCAATGTTAGGGTCGTCCCTGGAAGAGGGTGGAGAAATGCCCCAGGAAACAAGTGGTCAAGTCAACCCCAACTCACGCTGTTTCCACATGTGTCAGAGCTGTGTTCCCTAGAGTTCAGTGACTGAGGTTTAGAAGATTGCTGGGTCTTTTCTGTGTGCCTCTGGCTTGACCCAGACTGCCAACCCTTCAGTCAGCATCCGAGCACATTAACTCTGTGCCAGCAGGGATACCCTATAAGCTGGAGTCTGAGAAAGGGGCTGCTCCCCAAAATAGTACCCTGTGATGGTCTTTGGGAACTCGCCAGGGCAGGAGAAGCAGAGTGTGGCCTTCAAAGCTAATTAATACTGACTTGGTTGGCAGCAGCAAGAGGAATGGCTGGTGTAGACTAAGGTGTTTCACCCTTCTAGGGCGATGCTCACAGTAACTGGTGTGTCCCCGAACAAGGGGAGGCAAGAGAGGCCGGCCTAGCAAGCACAACTGCCTTTTTGGCAACAAGAAGAGAAGCCCTTGGTACTCAGGAAAGCTGCTCCCTAAGACCCCAGTACCTGGCCTTTGCAACCAGTGGCCGAGTGCACTGGAAATAGGGAAGGAATCTCAGCAAGGGGCTGTGTGGTCCCCTGGAAACTCCCCAATAACTAGGAGTTGGGCCTTGGCAACAAATGTGGTCCTTGGTGATTAAGGCTCCACCTTAGCAACGGGGAGCCCGGGCCTGAGCAGTCGGGGTCCTGCCCCGCCTGCCTCAGAGGCACACATTGATTTGCTTGGAGAGCTCTCTCTCCAGGTCCAAGATGAGGGCGTCGAAGTCTTTGAGATTCAGGTGCGGGTTGAAGGGCGCCTCGAAGTCATCGTCGAAGTCAGTGTTGCCCTGCTGCCCACCTGCCTCCTCCTCCTCATCTTCATCCTCGCTGTCGCTGCCTGTCACATGGTCGTAGTCCGGCCCAGACAGGAAGTCTCTCCCACACGGTAGGAAGTCTCGTCCGCAGACGCTCCAGTCTCCAGCATAGCGATTGCTAGGGGGGCTCTCTGGGCCGCCCCGATCTCGAGGCCTGGTGACCACCTCAGGGCTCGCCAGCGGTAAATGCAGTGGTGGCTGTCGCTTGGGCCGCAGGTACGGAGCAAGGTCTGGAGCCTCCGAGGGCCTCTGTGGATCTGTGGAGATGAGAGGGTGGGGTGGTAATGGAATCACGGGCAGTGGAGAAGACCACTTGTTCTTGGAAGCAACCAAGCCTTCAACCAGATCAGGATCTCATTGGCTGGGCCAGGACTTTGTTAACCAGGCATCTAATCAGCATGCAAAGAGGCAGAGCCTGTAACTACATCAAGGATGACTTGGCTAAATCAAAAGTGTTTGCTGAGGCAACCAGGTACCAGTGTATCCTAATAAGGGGGCGTGGCCAGTCCCATGTTTGAAACTCTGATTGGCCACCCGAAAAGGCATGGATGTGGCAGCTGGGCCTGATGGGCGGATCGGACAGGAAATCAGGCTTACCTGGCCAGGACTGCAGCAGGTAGTGCAGCACCTCAATGTGGCGCTTGAAATCCACTGCGCTAGCAAGGCCCGGGCCAGAGCCTCGGGGACGCAGCCGAGCGGGCGTCTGGCGCGCCGGCAGCAACACAGGTCCGAAGCACACGGCCAGGTTCTGTGGGGTCATGCGGTTGTGGACATGAAAGGAGGAGACCAGGCGCAGGTGGTCCAGGAGAAGCGTCAGTGTGGCCTGAGGAGTGGGTTAGGAGGGCATGAGGGGGGCATGCCAAGCCTGCTGTACCTACAGGAAGCTCACAATAAGGAACAGGTCCAAGGGCTCAGCAGAGAGGGGGCAGAACCAAGATGAATCCAGGGCTAACTGTGTTCAATATTAATATGATTCCATTTTCCTGGAGGGGAGATGAGGTTGAAGGTAACTTTGGAACTGAAAGAACTTGAACCACAACACACTGCTCTTTTTATCAGGCAGAGCTGGCATTAGTCCCATTTTACAGATGAAGGTAGTGAGGCATGGGAGTGGTAAGATTTGTCTAGGATTCCACAACCAGGAAACTCTGTGGCAAGTTTGACTGACCCTAGTTCAGAATCTAGGATGTGTTTGTAACATCCCAGATGTGTGACTTTGGGTAATTTCACACCTATGAATTAGTGATCAGAGGGTGGAACAAATGGTTAACAGACTTGCTGCTAACTAAAAGGCTGGAAGTTCGAGTCCACTCAGAAGTGGTGTCGGAAGAAAGGCCTGGCGATTCTCTTAGGAAAAATCAGCCACTGAAAACCCCATGGAACTCAGTTCTACGTGGGCACACCAGAGATTGTCATGAGTTGGAGGTGACTTGACAACTGGTTTAAGAGCACCTTGGTAGCGTAGTGGTTACGAATCAGGCTGCTAACCTCAAGGTCAGCAGTTCAAAACTACCAGCCATTCCGCAGGAGACAGATGAGGCTTTCTGCTCCCGTAAAGATTTACAGCCTCGGAAACACTGTGCAGGGTCACTATGAGTCGGAACTGACTCCACAGCACTTAACAACAACAACTTCTTAGGGTTGTGATGCCACCAGCTTAGGTCATTGCCCATGTGTCCCTCCCACCTGACAGTCCATCCTCAGCTCAACCTACCCTCTCCACATCTGGCAGGCAGCTGAGGAGTCCTCTGGTGCCCTCAGGGCTAGGGGGAGCCCGGCCTGGGGGTCCTTTGGCCATGGCCTCCAGCACCACCCGATAAAGAGGCTGGGTGATGAGCGGGGTGGGCAGCTCCCGAAGGTAATCCTTGAGGATACCTGTGAACACATGGCAGCCTGTGGTCAGGGCACCCCTGGCTTCTGAGGCCACAGGGGTCACTTGGGACTGGCAGGAGGGAGCATGGCAGGTTCTGGACGGTGACAACAAAGACAGACAGGAGAGGTGAGGTCCTAGAGGGGCTACGGGGTCAGCAGGGGACACAGCAGGCAGGGGGAGGAGGGGACTCTGACCAGTGATGGCATTGATATCAGGGTACAGGTCCTCGGAGAGGCAGACAGCTGCACTGTCCTGTTCAAAGGCCTCCCGGAGCTCTTTTTTCACTGCTGCCGAACCACACAGACGGTACAGCCCCACAACCTAGGGGTTGGGGCAGAGAGAGTGTCGCTTCACTGAGGCCTACTGGGGTGGGAGCAGAGGTCTGGGCCAGTGTGGCAGTAGACAGTCTGGGCTGGGGGGCCGGGAATGGGCCGTAGCCTCACTCACAGTCTTTCTGTTCCTGACACCTACCAGGGGAGTCCCTGCCTTGCTGCCTGGACCCACCTGGCTCATGGAAATTCAGATTGGATCACCTGTTTTGAGCCTTCACTGATTTAGTTTACTTGACACCTCCTTAGGGAAGTCTCCTGTAATTACCCCACCAGATTAGATCTTGTTCTCAGCTCTCACAGTCCCATCTACTTCCTTCCTTAACTCTCCTCCTAAGCTGCAGTTTTACATTTGTGAGTTAATGGATTTGTGTTCTTCTCTCATCACACTCTGAGCTCCAGGAGGGTCAGGATGCTGACCCTGAGGATTCCAGGCTGGTGCTATGGTCTGGTGACCCCCTGCCCCAGTGAAGGCTAGATTGGGAACTATGAGTGAGGTTTGGGGGCAGTTGAGTAGGGGTGGGGGCTCACCCGCAGCCCTCGGCGCTCGATCTGCCCCACACACTTCTGGATAATGAGAGGCACTTGACCAGGGGGCTGCTCCCGCTCCACCAGCAAGGGCAGGGGCAGTCCGAAGACGCGGGGCTCAGCTGTGCCTGGGGCTTCCTGCTGCTCTGACAGGGTCAGCTTTGCATACAGCAGCCCCTGGGGCTCCAGGCGCACAGCTAGCTGCTGGGCCTGGCACCCTAAGAACGAAAGAGGGTGTGAGCTGGGTCTCAGCTCTGCAGGTTGCTGGGCCCTGGCCCTTATATTCCCACTCCCTCTACCCCAGGCCCAGCACCCTAGGGACTCCTGGAAGGAAGGGAAACCCTGAGTTGAATCTGTCCCTGCAGGTGTGCCCTGGACTCCATCCCTTCACCCTGGGCTTAGCACCCTGGGGACTCCTGGCAGAAGAGGAGAGCCCTGAGCTAAGTTTGAACCCCCTCCATCCCTCCAGATACCTGTTCCCTGCCCCCACCCCAAAGCCACCCTCATCCTAGGCCCAGTACCTGGGGGCTATTTTGGGGAAGTCCTGAGTCAGGCTTACCCCCACCCCCGAGGATCCAGTGCCCTACCCCCTCACCCCTCCAGTCCCCTACGGCTATGCAGTACCTCGGAACACCATGGGCAGCAGCACGGTCCCCTGGGCGCAGGGTCGGTGACGCCGCACGCCAGGGTCCCAGGCCAGCACCAGGGCCCGCAGCAGCCGGGCGGCTTCCAGCTCCAGGTGGAAGGTGTGGTCCAGCCGCAGGAAGTCTGGGCCGCCGCGCAGCGGCCCAGTGCGTGCCCGAGCCACTCCGTCCACCTGCAGCAAGCAGCAGAGGTCCCGCGGGGGCGCTCCGGATGCCGACCGCAGGCCCCCGAGCCCGTACAGGTGCAGGCTCAGGCGGCCCCAGAGTGCAGGCGGGGGCGCACGGGCAGTGGGGCCTGCCTCGTAGGGCCGGAAGGCGGTGGGCGACGGGGGCCCAGCTGTGCGTTCCGGAGAATCGCCGTCGCTCAGGTAGCCGGTCCGGTGCCCCCGCGCGCCCACGGACCCTGCTGCGCGCCCGGGGGCCCCCACGCTGCTGTCTAAGTGGTAGCGGCTGATGACCGAGCCAGCGGGGGCGGCTTTGTCGCGCTCACGGCCGCCCCGGGGCCCCCGCAGGCTCAGACGGCGGCGTAGCTCTGGCAGCTTCTTCATCTTCAATGACAGTCGCCGCGCTGGTCCCGGGGATTTGGTACGCGAGGCCTTGGCCGGGGGCGGCGGTAGGTGCTCACCGTCTAGCTCCCCGGCGCCTGACGGCGGACCCGCAGACACTGACGTCCGGGGATCTTCCTCCGGGATGGGGTTGTACCAGATCTCGCCGGCCGGCTCTCGGCTGCTGGGCGCCCTGAGCCCCAGCGCGGTCTCCTCTGGGGGCTTGGCCCCACTCAGCACCCAGCGGCGGCTGCTGGGCTCCAGACTCTGCAAGTAGGCTCCCCGCGCGGGACTTCGCGAGATCTCAGGGCTGGGGGGCCCCTCGGCGCCCGCTGGGTACCCTTCGAGAGTCTGGGGCTCTGGCTCTGGGGGGCTGGGCTCTGCGCGGCGGGCTGGGCGGCCTGGAGCAGAGAGCGCAAGGGGATGCGACTCAGTGTCCTCCACCTGCTTGCTCCCAGTCACCCCTGACCGCCCATGGCTACTCTAGCCACTTCCAGACCAGCGCCAGACCAGGGCTGTTTCTCCAGCCTCCACCAGGACAGGTAGGGTATGCTCACCACAGCACCCATTAGAAGCTTGATGGACAACGGACAAGCAGCCCTGGCTCATTGTGTGACTGGACAGGGGAGGCCCAGCGCTTTGTCTGTGATGGGTGACCTCAGGACAAAGATTTCAGCAGTTGTGATCTTAGAACCAACCCATCCCCTCACAGGCCTGGACCCAAGTGAGGTCTCTGTCCTTCCACCTTCCAGCCTTAAGGTTTGGATTGGTTTCTCAGGGCCCTGTCCCATGTCCCAGCCTGTTTCATTAGCTCCTTCCTGCTCCTTCCCACTGTGTGACCTTGGGCGCTTCACTTCCCCTCTCAGAGCATCAGTAAGATGGGGGATGCGACACCCCCTCCCCAGAAGATGGAGCATGGGACGACGTGTCTACTTGGAGACTTGTCACCATACAGCATACAGTGAACATTCACTTGGGGACAGCATTGGCATCATAGTGGGGTGGGGTTCTCTCTTCCCCTCAGACTTCCCACCCACTCCCCTACAAGGGGCCTGCTTTCCAAACTTTGCCTCCATTCATTGGCAGACTCTGACCCTCAGCCCAGGCCAACATCTAAAAGTCTCCCTACTGTCAACATCTAGAAGTCTCCCTGACTCCTGCCTCCCTCTCGGACATCCGAGGCGATTTCCTGTGTATGCAACTCTGTCCCCTCTCCCGGCCCTGGGAACCCTGGGAAGTTTTTGGGAATGGCGCTGTTGGGGTCAGATATGGGGACTGATCTGCTCTTCCTGCCCCTCTTTCCCAGGACCCCCAGTTCCATGCAGTTTATGATTCCCAAAAGTCTCAGGCTTGCATGCCGATGCTTCCTCCAGCCCCCAGGGCTCTGCCTCAGGGAATCCCTATAAGTAGCCAGTTAAGTCACTTCACTGGCCTCAGGCAATTACCCAACTGCCCCATGACTCAGTTTCCTCATCTGTATAAGAGGTTGGTGAAGACGAATGAAGCCCTTGCTAAGCTGCAGTCCGTGTTCAGGGAACAGAAGCGGGTGGGGTGGGATGCCTGCCCCCTGGTCAGATCCCCCAGCCAGGCAAGACAGGGCCCCGCCAGCGCCTCCGACATCAAGCCCTCCTCTCTTCTACCCTCCAGGCGCTCCGTCCCGGCCCCACTTCCTGTCAGGGGCGAGGCCCCCTCTCGGGCCTCCCAAGGCGCCCGCAGCGCTGGCATCCCCAGCCCGCCGCACATAACGGTCTGCGCCACCCCCCACAGCGCCCTAGCCCCTTCCTCCCAGAACCCCAGCGCCAGGGGTGCCAGGCCTGGTCCGCATCCACACCCGCAGGGGGCACCGCGGGGCGTCCCCAGTCCAGGAGGTCACTCCTCCTCGGGGGCCCCTGGGTCCCCTCCACGGCCGAGTGGGGCGTGCGTCCCCCAAACCACCAGCACCCCGCTCACCGCTCTCCTTTGCGTCCGACTTTTTCCGGGGCAGTTTTTCCCGGCCCCGCAGGCGGGAGAAGGTTTTCCTGAGCAGCGGCTCGGCCATGCTGAGGCCGGGGCAGGGCCGAGTGCGCGCCCGGTCCAGCCGCGCCGCCCCCCTGCCGCTCGCCCGCCCCGCCCCGGCCTCCCGCCCGCCCCCTGCCCCGCGGCAGCAGGAAACGCATTCCGGGAATGCTTGGCCCAAACTTTTTTTTTTTTTTCCTTCCCGCGGCCCGAGCGGGCGGTGCTGGGATATGTAGTCGTTGGGACCGGGAGGGCATGGGCAGGGGGCTCTGGGCAACTTTCTTTTGCTCTGACTGTGAATGTTCTGGTACAGCCAGAGCCTCTCTGCTCTCTTACCCATCCGCTCTTGTGGATCACATCCGCACCTTCTCTTAAGTCTCCCTCCCAAACGAATTCTGCAAGTACCCCCCAGCACATCCCATCTACTGCTTCACCCAGGGTCCAAACCCTTGTACTGTTCTCTTCTATGCCTTTCAGTTGCTTTGGTGGTCTGTCCGACACCTCTCCAGAGCCTCCACCCCTTCAGTTACCGCTGTTGTGTAACGACCACCCTCCAACTTAGTGGGTAAAATATGATTTCATTCTGCTTACAGAAACCGATGATCAAGAATCTGAACAGGGCACACCTGACGTCTTTATTCTGTGGTGTCTCAGCCTCAGTTAGGAAGACCCTTTCTTAAGGGGTAGGAGCTCTGGTAGCGTGGTGGTTACGAGTTGGGCTGCCAACCTCAAGGTCAGCAGTTCGAAACTACCAGCAGTTCCGCGGGAGAAAGATGAGGCGTTCTTCTCCGGTAAAGATTTACAGCCTCAGAAACCCTGTGCAGGGTCACTATGGATCAGAACCTGCTCCACGGTACTTAACAACAACAACAACCGTTAGGGGTAATTTTACGTGTGAGGGGCTGGAATCATCTGAAGGTTTGTTCAGTTAAATGGCTGGCGGTTGACTCCAGTTGGGACCTCAACTGGAGCTGGTGCCTAGAGCACCTACAAGTGGCCTCTTCATGTGGCTTGGGCTTCTTTCTGACATGGAGGGCTTGGAGTAGTTGGACTTCTTACATGGTCACTCATGTTGCTAGATGCTGCTGAGTTGGTTTCCACTCATAGTGACACTAATATTTGGTTCCGACTCATAGCAACTCTATGAACAACAGAACAAAACACTGCCCAAGTTTGCACCATCTATGAGTCGGCACCAACTCGATGGCACCTAACTACAACAACACAATGGTTATGTTTCAGCCCATTGCTGCTGCCACTGTGACGGTCGCTCCATCTCATTGTGGTCTGTCTCTTTCACTGACACTCTACTTCACCAAGTATGAGACCCTTTTCCAGGGACTGATCCCTCCTGATAACATGTCTGAAGTATGAGCGACAAAGTCTTACCATCCTGGCTGCTGAGGTGCATTCTGGTAGTACTTCTCCCAACACAGATTTGTTTGTTTTCTGGGTAGTCTATGGAACTTTTAATGTTCTTCTCCAGCATCATAATGGAAACACACTGATTCTTCTATAGTCTTCCTTATTAATTGTCTAACTAATGTAATACGTCATTTGATGTCTTGACTGCTCCTTCTATGAGTACTGATTATGGATTCAAGCAAAATGAAGTCCTTGACAACTTCAATTTTTTCACTGTCATCATTCTGTGATGTATTGGTCCAGTGGTGAGGATTTCTGTTTTCTTTACATTGAGAGACAACTCATACTGAAGGCTTCATTTTCTGACCTTCAGTAAGTAAGCATTTCAAGTCCTCTGCTTCCAGCAAGCAAGGCTGTATCTATCATCTGCATATCACAGGCTGTTAATGATTCTTCCTTTAATGATAATGCCACATTCTTCTTCATATAATCCAGCTTCTCATATTACTTGCTCAGCATACCGACTGAGTAAGTCTGGTGAAAGGATACAACCCTGACACACACTTTTCCTGATTTAAAGCCATTCAGTGTCCCCTTGGCTCTATTTTAAGGACTGTCTCTTGGTCTATGTACAGCTTCCTCATGAACCCAAATAAGTGTTCTGAAATACCCATCCTTCTTAATGTTATCCATCATTTGTCATGATATACGCAGTTGAAAGCCTTTACATAGTCAGTAAAGCATAAGAAAACATCTTTCTGGCATTTTCTGCATTCAGCAAAGATCCATCTGATGTCAGCAATGATGTCCCTAGTTCTATGTCCTCTTCTGAATCCAGTTTAACTGTTCCCTGTTGATGTACTGTTTGTTGCAACTATTTTTAAATTATCTTCAGCAAAATTTTACTTGCATGTGATATTACTGATATTGTTTGAGGATTTCCATGTTCCATTAGATCACCTCTCTTTGCAGTGGGCACAAATAGAGATGTCTTCCAATCTGTTGGCCAGGTAACTACTGTCTTCCAAATTTCTTGGCACAGATGAGTGAATGCCTCCAGTGCTACATCAGTTTGTAGAAAGATTTAAATTTCTATCAGCGAATACCTGGAGCCTTGTTTTTCTCCAATGCCTTCAGTGCAGCTTGGACTTCTTCCTTATAAATACCATCAATTCTTGATTATATGCTGTCTCTTGAAATGGTCGAATATCGGCCATTTCTTTTGGTACAGTGACTCTGTGTATTCCTTTTATCATTTTGATATTTTGTGCATAGTTCAATGTTTTGTCCATAGAATTCTTCAGCAGTGCAAGTTGAGGCTTGAAGTTTTTCTTCAGTTCTTTCAGCTTGAGAAGTACTGAGCATGTTCTTCCTTTTTGATTTTCTAACTCTAGATCTTTTTTAATTTTTATTTTAATACTTTATTATATTTTATTTTATAGCACATTTTATTATAATACTTTACTTTGTCTTCTTGAGCTGGCCTTCAAAATGTTCTGTTCGGTTCTTTTACTTCTTCATCTCTTCCACTCACTTTCACGTCTCTATCTATGCTCAAGAGCAAGTTTCAGAGTCTCTTCTAACAGAGTCTCTGTTAGAAGTCTTTTCAGAGTCTTTTCTTTCTTTCCTGTCTTCTTAATGACATTTTGCTTTCTTCCATTCTGATGTTCTTGATTTCTTCCAACCACTCTTCTGGTCTTCAGTCATTAGTATCTAATGCATCAAATCTTTATTGAGATGGTCTCTAAATCCAGGTGGGATATATTCATCATATTTTGGCTCTAGTGGGCATCTCTTTTCTTTATCGTCAGTATGAACTTGCATATGAGCAATTTATGGTCTGTTTCACAGTTTGCCACTAGCCTTATTTTGACTGATGATATTGAGCTTTTCCACCATCTCTTCCAACAGCTATAGTCAACTGGGTTCATGTGTATTCCATCTAGTGACATCCATGTGTGTAGTTGCCTTTTTTAAAAAAGGTTTTTATTGTGGATTGAATGCACGTCTACAGGGCAGATCATCACTTTTACATTCAACAAATCATACACCTTGTTTCATTACAATGATTATAATTCCCGCCATACACCATCCATAAACAGTATCTCTCTCTATTCACTTTATCCCCCCCCCCTTTTTTTTTAAACACTCAGGCATATATAATAATTTATACTACCAAAGGGCACATTCTGCGAGTCTGCCTCCTGGCTGCCAGCTCTTAGTCCTTCTCTTCCCATGAATCTAGAGTCCTCACCTTCTCCCTCTCTTGATGTCCCCATCTCTGGTGTTGCTGCTTCTCTGGATAAGGTCTCGCATTCCACTTGTGCTGTAGTTGCTTTTTATGTTGTTTAAAAAGGTATTTGCAATGAATAAGTAATTGGTCTTGCAAAATTCTATCATGTCATCTCTAGCATCATTTCTATTAAGACCATTATTTTCCAACAACTGACCCTTCTTCTTTGTTTTCAACCTTTGCATTCCAATCACCAGTAATTATCAATGCATCCTGATTCATGTTTGATCAATTACAGACCGAAAAAGTTATTGTTGTTGTTGTTGTTAGGTGCCGTCGAGTCTGTTCAAACCCATAGTGACCATAGGGTCACTGTACAATAGGACGAAACCTGCCTGGTCCTGCACCTCCTCACAATAGCTGCTATTCTCGAGCCCATTGCTGCTGCCACTTGTTAGGCATATTGTTGGGGGAGTCTCCCTGTTTTTGCCTTTCCCTCCACTTTACCAAGTATGAAGTCCTTCTCTAGGGACTGGTCTTTCCTGACCACATGCCCCAAGTATGAGAGACAAAGTCTGGCCATCCTGGTTTCCAAGGAGCATTCTGGCTGTACTTCTTCCAAAACAGATTTGTTTGTCCTTCAGGTACCTTTAATATTCTTCTCAAACTGGTTGTTCTGAATGTGTTTTCAATTGGGAATGTCCCACCTCAGAAGGTTCTGGGTGGAGCCCAGGATTCCACCTAAGGTCCCATACTCCACAAATGCTTAACACGAAGCCTGTTTTCCTGGGCACATTCTAGTATCCTATCAGCTAATCCTATCAGTTATAGGCTGAAGATGGGTTTACATGCTTTCTCTAATCATATTTCCTAATATTCCTTTCTATCCCACTCAAATATCTATATTACAGTAGTAGACAGGGGAAACCAATATCCACAAAACAGTCAAGCACCTTAACATCAATGCCCCTCCTTTACCCATTCAGACTATGTCTCGATCCCTGTATCACAGAGCCCTGTTGTTCCAAGGTTGTGCTTACATCACAATCTACCTCTATCCCATTTAGCCCATCTAGCCCTCCCTAAGTCTTCCCTATCATCCTGTTCATCTGCCCCCCACTTCTTGTGCATTACTTTCCCCCTCTTCATTACTGTTCTCCCTAACACACGACCTATCATGTATCTAGCCCCTAACCTGTGAGTTACTTACTGTCTCCTCCCTCCCACCCCTAGTAAACATTAAAGAATTATTCTTTTAGTATAGAAATCTTTTCTTAAGCTTTTTTTATTTTTATGTTTTATTGTGAATTATGTGATAGTTTACATGGGAGAACATTAGCTTTATATTCATCCTATCTTATCGTATATCGTTTCATTGCCATGGTTACAGTCTCCTCCACGCATCATCAACCAACCAAAGGGTATACCCTGCAAGCCTTCCCCCC